GTAGTTATCATTCTCTTAATTCCATTACACGGAACATATTTCGGTAAAATGTTAGTTAATTCGCCAAATAATAACGGAATTTCCATAACGATATAATTTAAATGAATCGATTTAATTAATAATGTCTTCAGCGCACGTATTGGTGGATGGAAAAGGAGAATAGGACGTTTAAAAATGAAAATTTTCCTTTACGTGAAACAAAACAAATAATTCACTAACATCCTGATGCGGTTGCGATTTCTTTTGCTGTTGCTGCTTTTTCAAATTTCCTTCACGAGCAAGTTCACGCTGATTACCACCTGAAAGTGTATTTGCAGTTACTTTTGGTTCATGCATAAATGAACAAATTGATTTCATTGATTTAACATTTGGCAATGGAAATGAGGAAAAAATTTTTAACACATTAAGCGAAATAATCAATATTTGCTATTAAGCGTCGCGTGAACTTTGAATGTGAAATATTTATCAATTAAATTATTTATGAATTTTGAATATTTATCTTAATATCACATTAACAATTCTTGTGGAATAACTGAAATAATTTCATTCCTCCTTGAAAATTATTTTATTTCTTTTATTTCATTCCAATCTTGTTATTTGAGAAAAAAACATAATAAATGATTTATAATTAATACTATTACATGACATATATCATGATTCTATTATTAACGCTATCAAATACATCAATTAAAAAGAAATTTATTGTATTCGTTTCAGTGAAATTTTAATAATTCGATATTTTGCAAAACATAATGCCATTTATGATAAAAATAAATATTCGTTTTTTTTCATTTCATTTTCCTACAATGCACCAAATGATTCAAGATATAAATTGCAATTTTCTTTTGGATCTGTCGAAATACGCATATATCCATTTTCACCCCATTTGGTACCCCAACTGAAATTATTTAGCATTAATTTATTCATTAATTTAATTACTTTACTAATCGAAAAATTTTTGTTTAGTTTCATTGATTTGAAAATATTTTAAAATTTTATTACTTTTCTGTAAACAAATAATCAAACAAGTCAACTAATAATAGTACAAATGGATTATTCACTTAAATAAAAAATGATTTGCTTTCAATGAAATAAATTTAGTAAGTTGGAAATGCAATGTATATACATCACCTTGACCCGACAGTTTGACTTCATTATTAGCTTCTACAAAACTTTAATTCTTTAAAAAAAATTATTCCATATGTCGTTGAAAAACTTAAAGAATCAAAAAAACTTTTGCCTGTTTTTTAATAAAATATAATCTTCTGTAAATCCAACTGCTAACACTGTGTGTGAAAAAACATTATTCGGACTTTGAAGGCAATCACGAAATATTCCTGCAAATTATTTGTGTATAATTGTTAATTTAAATTTATAATCTGTAAAAGAAAGGAAAAATGACTGAAACGAAATGCAATGATGAATTTATTTGGCTGTTTCATTTCATTATTCATTTCCTTCTCTTCATCCATTAATTTCAT